ACTACTTAAGAAAAGTTATGCAAATATAAAATGTTCAATCAATATTTGTTTAATTAATTAATATAGGATGTATTAAACTAAAAGGAAGCAAGCTCTTTAATTGAGAGACAAACTAAAGTGCTTCAGTATATTTGTTGTCCGCTTTGTTTTTAATATTTTTAAATGATAACTGAGGGAGGATAGTGAAAGCAGTAAGAGAAAGAACACAGGGTTTGGAAGGAAGGACTAGGTGACAATAAATTTAAAAAAAAAAAAGGTGGGTAGTAGCAGGAACTGTTAAGTTCCTTGAACAAATAAGTAAAAATATGAACCTGGAGGTCAAGTGAAAAACAGTGTCAAAAATGCTTATGTCCTAGAAATCTTCTGTACAGATGCTTGATGCCATAATAGTTTAAAAAAAAAGAGCAATGTATAAGGAATAGAGATTCAAGAATGGAATCTAGGTGAACAGCTACATAGTAGATGAAGAGAGGAAGAGAACCCAATGAAGATGAGAGAGGAAAATTTGAGAAGCAGAAAGGGAGTAAAAGAGCTCAGCACAAAAGGCTGGGAGAAAGATAGGCAAAGATGTATAGATAGAAGAAAATGGCGGAGGAGACATAACAACATATTTTGATCTTCATAGTGAACTATAAAGCAAGGTGACTAAAAAAGTGTGAGAGAAAATAAGATCTAGTATTAGAAAGACACAAAATATCCTGTGCAGGAAATGTAATAGAAAGTCTTTTAAAAATGACCCCAAGGGCCTCCCTCGTGACTTAAGGGGTTAAGTCTCAGCACTGTGAAGCTGTCCACAGCCACTGCAGCATGAGTTCAATCCCTGGCCAGGGAGCTAACCGACATGGCCCAGCAGACCGCTCCTATCTCGCCAACTGCTCCCCTCAGCAGTGTATTTCAGTCAATCTACTCCCCACTCTGTCTCTAGAGAATCCTCTCACCCTCCACACCTCTGGCCTACACCCTACCTCTTGTATTCATAAATAAATCTTTTTAAAAAAAAAAAAATGTTCAGCTGAGAAACATGGAGAACACAGCTGAGCTTAGAAAATGCATTTGGATGGGATTAAATAGCCTCATTTTAGTTTTTGCAAATAAAAAGTTAGGGTGAGAATGTGAATAAATACCCTTCTTTGGGTCAAGATTTACCCAAACAAGTGGTTAGTGGATGAAAGGACAGTGGTTGGAGAGCAGCATTAAGTCCACCTGACCAGTTCTATGCCTAACTCAAATCAAAGCTACAAAGAAATAAAGGGAAGACTGGAAGAGGCTGAAGTAATGATGGGCATCTAGCCTCTCAGTTAAAGTGAAGACAAATCCATTAAGAGTTGAAAGTGGTAAGTTCGGAAGAGATAAGAGAATGTAGTCAAAGAAGGGAGTTTTAAATGTAAAGATCAATTTTTTCAGTTCATGATTTAAAATATCAGATCTCCAGTTCATTCCTTCCAGTTCTGTATAGTTTATGCTTTTTATTCTCTTCCAACATATATTCCATGTCTGTCATTTGAATTTACTATACATTCCTGCAGTCCTTTTCTTTTGTCTTATTGAATCATAAGACCTCCTAAAAAATTCAACCTTAGTTTTAAGAGTTGTAAAGCTCAGTAAATTCATCTTTGTTATTGTCTTTGTTTTAAAATGTTTTATAGTATATAATCATAACATTGAATTTCAAAATGTTCCAATCTTAATGAAGAAAATAATCATATAAATTAAAGTTATAAGATTAAAATGTGTGTAATCAACATCTTGATATATATGACATATACCATTTCATCTGAAATAACTTTTAAGCCTTAATTAATCAGATAAAAGTTATAATAAACAGCAAGATTAGATTATATTCTTGAAAACCAAACAATGATATGAGCTGATGTAGTCAGAATAAAATTAGTCAATTAACCAAATTTGATGATCAGATGCCAATCTAATATAATTGTAAATGTAACCAGTCAATTGCAAATGCTCTGCATTTAGTCAGCCTCAATATTTGGATTTGAGGGTGGAAAAATAGCAGCATACATCACCCCATTGACTGGACTGGCAAGCCTCCCATCAACCTGCTGGTGTCCCCTTCCATAAGAAAAAAAATAAGACAACATTGCTATTAATAATTCTATGATTGCCATAACTATAACTATCCTGCTTGAGTACTTTCTACAATTCAGTCACTCATGCTGCTCCGTGTTATATAATTCACACACTTGCCTCAGGGGTATGTACAGCTGCCCCATTTCACAGATTTAAAAAAAAAATCTGAAGGTCAATCTCCACTTACAGAAATGAAAGGGCCTTCTTCAAATCTACAGTGCAATATGAAAGGTAAGCTGCGAATGAAGCTTTTAAATTGATTTTGAATGCTTTAATACCCTAAAATGTAGCCTGGATAAAATTTTCAGGCATGTTTACTAGTTAGTAAGTAATTAAAAACAAGCAGCATAATATTTCTGGAAAGAATGAGCATTTCTAGATGAATATGGTTTAATTTTTAAAAATATCAAACTGTTTCAAGAAAATGAAATATCTACATCATATTTGATGTCATGACTAGATGACATGATTTGTATGACAACAAATTCAGAGTACAACCATAATTGTAACTTTTACAGTAAAATCATCAAACCAGGTTTCCAATTTTAAAACTTCATGGTTGGGATATTATTTTTATACAATTATTTTCCAGAAAAATAAGATAATACTCAACTTTTTTCTTATCTCCCTGTAAATGTATGTGAAATAGTTTCTTTCTTCCCACACAATAGCCTCTCCCCCACATCTTCCTGAAAAGGAAAAGGGTGGAGGAGGTGGCAAGAGAAGAGGGAAGGAATGTATTCTCTTTACACAACTTAATAAGGGAGAGCAGGAAGTGGTGTATTCAACAAGAAAAGCATTTTCTCTTTAGATAAATGACTCTCTCCATCTCTCACCCAAAAAAGAAACATAGGCTTACCATTGAGTTCCTATTGACCACATCTTCCTGTGCTGTTCATAAATTTTATTTATTTATATTCTTACATCCCTTTTTATTGCAAATTATTTGGCCATTTTCAGTTTTTCAAAAGAATATCAAGCATTTAGACTTTGGGGAGCTTTTGTTTTAGACAAGTGACAGTCCATTCACTTAAACAAGTATAAATGAAATACATTGATTTTTTTAAAACAATACCTTTGTATAATCTATAGACACTCTCAGTTTCATTATAGATGGATTTTGAGTCAACTTTTAGAAATCCATTTTTAGATTGCTATTTTATACATTCTGCTCAATGCTGTTTCTTGATCAGACAAACCCCATTACCTTCTGATTTATTATTCTGTGTTGATATCGCAACTGTAATGGTGGATTTTAGATACAATTATATAAGTAGTCAAGACCATTAGTGCAGATATAAATTACATACAAAACCATGATAATATTAAAGGTTTAAATTCTATATTTTTTGTTGTGACAATGCTAACCTGGATATTTATTTTCCTTGAAGCAATTATTTTTGAATATTTGAAATATTTGTATTAAGATAGACATTCTTTGCACAAGTTTTTTACTGTTTCCTTCCAATTACCTATAAATTAGTAATGTCATACATCTTAAGTTTAAATGAAATTAGTATTTTAGATTGTTAGTGCATTTAAAATGAATTTAAAGGCATAGATTTATATTTTACCTTTGATATTCTTATTATTCTGATGCAAAGTGATTGAAAGCAGGTGTTTATTAAGTGACAAAAAATTGTCATATTATTTGATCTGAACTCATAATCTTGAGGTAGTTTGCTTTTTCTTATTTGTCTAAAACTGGGTTGGATGATTGAAGGCGATGCAAAGTAATTCTTGAATAAGAAAGCACTACCTTTCTGCTGTTATATTTCATAATCCTTTTTTGTTTGTTTGTTTTGTTTAAATTTTTAATTGAAGTACCATTGGTTTACATCATTGTTAGTATTTTGAAAGTATGGGATCTGTCTCTTCCCTAGTAGTTCTTGCCTCTCCCACTTCCCCCTCTGGATGCCTCTGTCTACGGTCAGCTTTCCGGGTATAGTTTTTAAGTTTGACTTTAGCTGACCCTTTGCTTCTCTATATTCCACATATAAGTGACACCACGTGGTATTTATCTTTCACCTTCTGCCTTATTTTGTTTAGTATAATCCCTTCACATCTCTTAATCTTAACTTCTAGAAAAAAATTTAATAAAACTCATTACTAAATTGATATATATTTACTAGAAAATACTAAATCTTAAATATTTTATAAATATTCCACCCGCATCTTCAGCTGAGGACTACTATTTTGAGTCCATTTTTATTTTGATATCATTAATAGCTTAATAATGGATCAAGCTCAGTGAATAAAGTTCTTCGAGTAGTTAAATATTCTTTTTCACTTGAGTTCGTCTTTACTGAGTTCTTCATCTATTTAACTTAATATCAACTCTCATTCATTTTTCCTCTCATTTGTGTGTCATGTGGCCGATAGTTTAATTTCAGGACATGGAATAAAAAAAAAGGTTCCCTTCTCTCTTCAGTCTAAAGTCACAGAAAAAAAAGTAATAGCTCCTGTTATAATTTTAAACCTCCATACTCTCTATCCTATATTTTTGCTTGGATTTGTTATCTTTATTTCTTTAAACTTTCCTATGAAACTCAGGCAAGAATATTTTAGAAATTTTGCAGAATATTGACAAAATTTTTATTAATTGGAGGTATTTCATGATAAGGTCATTTATCCATTGAGTTGATGGTCTGGAAAAGTTATAGAGAAAAGATTTAAGAAATTAAGCAACAATTTAAAAGTATTCAGTTAGAAATTATTCTAGAAATTTTACCTTGGGTTTTGTCATTTTATGTGTCATCTAGAAGTCTAGTATTGTCTTTATGATTGAATTTACATTAATGCATATTAACATTCATTTGGAGAAAATGAAGACTTGCTTAGCTATATTTGAGCCCATTTGGGTACTAATGGTACTTACTCACATATTGCAATCTTTTTTTTTTTTTTTGCAGTTTTACTAAAGGGAGGAAAAAAAGAGGAAGAGAAACCATTTAGAGACTGTGCAGATGTATATCAAGCTGGTTTTAATAAAAGTGGAATCTACACTATTTATATTAATAATATGCCAGAACCCAAAAAGGTAAAACCAGAAGTGTTTGTTTACGAGATGTAAAGCAGATCCTAGTCGAATTGCTGAATAATCAGATTGATTTGTGAGCTTGTTAAACCAAAAATATATATGCTTGGGCTCTTTTCTCCCAAAGATACTGTTTCCCAGGTCCATAAAAGATGAAAACCCTGTTGAGCAGACATCCCCCAACCCCCACACCTCTCAGCTCCCTTTCACACAAAGTTTTCTATTTGTTCTGAACTCATTCCTGGAATGTCCCTTTGCTCATAAATGCTTGCCTTGTATAGACTACTTATCAAGGTCACATATACTTAAAGTTCAAGAGAAAGAATTTAGGACCCAGATGGCACACATCATCTATAGTCCAAACACCATGCAGAAGGAACTAGGGATATACAGCTATCACGGAATCAATGTTCCTATTTTAGTAGGAGAAATATGTGCTATCTCAACTCACAGTCTTGAAAGGGTTTGCTTTTTCACATCTTACCTAAAGAATGGGTTGGACTATAGGATCCATCAGTATGTTGAACAGGATCCCAATTAAACCTCAAAGTAAGAAAGTACTATCTTTCTACTGTCACACCTATGTTGCATACTCTTTCTCCCTGTTCATTAAATGATGCGTCCATTTCTTCCTTCAATATATATTAAGTAAATGTCATTCATCCTTCACTGGCATAGGGCACAGTACAAAAAAAAAAAATTCCCAAATTAATAGTGAAGACAAATAATGACACAGATAATCAAAACATTCTGTAGAAGTATAGTGATATAGGTGTAGTTTGTTTAAAACAGCATTTATGCAGAGCCTTGAGGAGATCCCTGTTGTTCAGCATGCCAAAGCTTTTAACTAGATATCCAAAGCCACAAGAAGCCAACAGCTCTCGCAGTGTTCCTCCTCACCCTGCCCTACTTAAAGCACCAGTCCTCTGTCCCTGTTTCCCTGGAGTGCTCCAAAGATGCTCTTGCAGGCCATCCCTGATTCCCTCAAGCAACTTTGCATGACTTTTTCACTTCCAGAGTCTTATTAGGCAAGGATTGCTCCTTTTTACCTTTGGTTTCTGGGCTCCAGAATATATTGGAGCATATATATTTTGGCACATAGTAGGTCTTCAAAAATATGTGCCAAAATGAATGAAGAAATGACCTGCTAATGATAATGTAAACATCTCTATATGGGATATAGAAGTTAAGTCTAAATTACTTAGTCTTCCTGGTTGTTAGTTTCCTATGAGGAGTAAGGGAAACAATCTTAGCAACTAGTTTCCCAGGTGTCGCATAATTGTCAAAGGGGGAGAGTCTAGAGTGCATTCTCCCAATGTTCCCTGTCATCTGAACTGAGTAAGGATTAGGGTTTAAGTTAACTCTGTGTGTTGTCTCTTGCTGGGACTTTTTTTTTTTCCCCCTAACAAGAGACCTGTGCAGTTCTGTAATAGGTTGGAGGGGCAGAGAAAGAACAGGGTAGAATAAGGTGGCAGAGTTCCATACATTGCTATCTGGATCACCTAAAAAAAGAAGTTTGGTTTCAACTACTTTTTATTTTGGATTTCTGTGCAAGATTTCACTGAGTCAAGTGCTCCAGGGCTTTAAAGGAAGACGGAGCTATGGAGGAGTCTCAAGAAGGGAATAGAGAGGAGGGATGTGAGGGAGGAGCTTTTTGGATTCTTCAGATCATATGACATGAAATCTTTCTACTGTGCTTGTTGATATCTTAAAGTCATGCTTAATCTTCTTTTTGATTCTCTCTGTCTCTCTTTCTCTCTCTCTCTCTCTCTCTCTCTCTCTCTTGCTTGCTCTCTCTCACTCTCACGCTCTCTCTCACACACACACACACACAGGCACCTTTAGGACCTTCACCTTTCCGAATACACAGTGCTCTCTAGATTCAACGTTTGGTGCTAGTTTTGGATATGCTGAGCAAAAGATTTACTTATTGCTTGCAGAAGTTGTAGCAAAGATCAGCATCACAAAGCAAGTCTATATAAAAAGAAAAAAAAACCCAAAAGTTCAAATTCTATGATAATTAATAAAATTGGACCATTTAGGTAAATGACAATAACTATTAACAGAAATTATTTGTCCTTTAGCCACAGTAAGAGTGGCAAGTGTACAGAACTGTTATGCTGTTATTGTTTTGACTGACATAATTCCCTACCAAGAAGGAATGTCTGCAAATGTTAGGAAAGTGTTATCTTGCAGATGTTAGAAAAGTATTATATTTCAAATGTGATATGGAAGCCAAAGACTATTTAATTTTTCAAGCAGATAGGAAATGAGAATTATTTATATATATATTTTTATTTATATATTATTTATTGTTTACTTTCATATTATTAATGACTTGTAGTCATTTTCCACTTCAATGCAAATAGTAGAAAATAGGATTTTTTCCTTTCGCTTCATACATTTCATACATTCAAATGCCCTATAGCCGGCTTAGTTTCATCCAAAGAAACAAACCATTAAATCATAACTCTGCTGATTGTAAAATATTAAAATTTTATTTCTAAATTCATAATTCCCTTAATTCTTGGAAAAAGACTCTACTGAATGTATTGAGCTTTTTTATACAAGGTTATGGAAAATAATTAATATCCACAAGCATTGTCATTCCAACTTGTATGGAGCATAAAAGCATAAGAACTATGTGAATCAAATTTCCCTTTTTGTTTGGGTTTCAATTTCTGTATTATGTTAGAAGGTATTTAATGCTTGAAAGCTTTGACCTTGTCTGGGATAGGAGCCAGTTCAATCTTTTCTTGGATAGAGTTAAGCCCAAGTCATCTGATCAATAAATGCAACAGGCATAGTAAATGTAGCAGGACCCTTGTCTACAGGAAGGACACCGCCAGATAACACAGACCACACAATACTGGCAAGTGAGCCTTTCAAGGCCTTTCTGTCACAAATCTTTCTGAAAACAACCCCTATTTTCTTGAACATTCCTTCTCCTTTAATCATAGGCTTTTTATTTTCCTTCTAACTAGAAGTAGCATTGTCTTTTTTTTGGTTAATGTAAACACAATTTCTTAAGTATCTATACATATATTTGTATTTAATATAAAATGAAAAGTAGCATTTTTATAGATTAGTAATGCCAATATTAATAAGAAGCTGGTAATAATCATAAGGACACTTTATTGAACTTGTACATATTTTAGCTTTGTACACTCCATGTTTTTCATAGTAAATTATATATAATAGTAATCTAAAAACACTAAATAGTTTTCTCTACACACTCTATATTGATAAATGTAGTTATTCCTATCCCTCAGTATGTAAGTGGACTTTATAGTTTTGTGAACACAATTTGGTAAATTTTCAGACACTATCTGTGAGGAAACAAAAATCTGGAAAAATAATTCTGGATTAACCAGTCAAAACAGGGTCAAATTTAATTATAAAATGAGAGATATTAGCCTCAGTAAATGTTTCTTTTATATTTTCACTTATTTAAGTTACACCACTAAAATTCCAACTTGGCCATTTACCCTGAATCACCGCTGTGCCCTCATTAAACTGTGCCATAGGGGTTTTATTCTCATAGGAATTCTGTAATCTCTCCTTAAGGTAACTAATAACTCCATTTTAAATTTAAGTATGCATTTTTTTAATATTTATTTTCTTGACTTCTGTGGAATATTTGATTAACTTGGTCATTTCCCCAACTCAAGATACATTTCCAATCATTTCATTCCTTTTATCAAATTTTTGTGTTTTATCTTTTCTTACTGGATCTCTTTGTTCAACAAATACTCATTTAGTATTGCTATAAGCAGATGCTGCTCTAGGTCCTGAGATAGTTTCAAATAAAATGAAGAATAGCCTACATAAAACTTGATGTACTTTATCTTTATTATTTATACACAAAATCCCAGTTATCACACACACACACACACACACCACACATTATCTCTTTATGTTATTTTCTTTATTTTTGAAAATAATCTGTCTTCATGCTATCCACTCCTACTTCATGCAGATTATTCCCAATATAATTTTGAAGAAAGTAGACATAGGTTAGATATAACTAGAAGTAGTCACTATTATTAAAAATAATCATTGGTAAGTTCTTGAAGTACTCTAAGCTTCATTTTTTTAATCATTTTGTTATATATAATACCTACTTCATAGATTTGTTGTGAAATTAAGTTAAGAATATATGCAGTGTTTAAGGGCGTCCCTGGTGGCGCAGTGGTTGAGCACTGGGCTGCAAAGCTGCCCACAGCCTCTGCAGTGCTGGTTTGATCCCCGGCTGCCGGGTGAGGGTCCCACATGGTGTGCAGACCTCTCCTGCCACCAGCTACTCCCCTCAGCAGTGTACTTCGTCAGTCTGCCTGTTCTGCTCTCTGCTCTGGCTCTGGTGAGTTCTCTCACCCTCCCACGCTTCTTACTGTACCCAGTGCTTGCATAAATAAATAAATAAATAAATAAATAAATCTTTTTTTAAAAAAAGTATATATATAGTGTTTAAATATCCAGTGCTTAACAAACATGCTATTGTTAATGGCTAGTTCTTTCTTATTCCCTTATTTATTTTCTTATTCATGCTCTCATCTTTGGCCTTCTTCTAGTAGAGTGTTTCTAACTGATCAATAAACTCCCACTTATGGAGGATTATACCACCTCAAAGTCTAGGTCTTCAAAACTTTGATCATTTTATTAGCTCATGTTAGCTGTCTTCCTCATTGCTCTTTCAGATCTGTCATTCCTGTCAGTTGTCTGTCCCTATCATTCTTCACATCTTGGAGTTGAAATCCATGGGCTCCTACACTTTCTTAATTCTGCAAGAATAGTTACTGTTGAATTTTTAAAGCACTTTGAGAACATGATCTATATTTTATTCATCATAATATCCCCAGCTGTATCACAGAATCAACCCAAAAATGCTTGTTCAGTGAAAAATAAGTGAATGATGAGTTAGAATTAAAGAGAGCTGGACTACCTAGAGGTTACCCTGAGGACAAAACACAGGTACAGAAGGGTTAACAGATTAGTAGAGAAGAAAACCTTGGGACAGGGAAGGGAATTATAAATTTATAATCTTGGAGGTGAGTCAAGTTTTAGGCATGATGAAAACACACTGATGGGTGACTTGTCAAATTGAGGACAAGCCCTCAGGAGAGCAGTTGGCCTATTATATATGCTCACAAATAGTCATGTCTTTCTTAGTTGCTTTCACTGAGGAAATGCAAGGACAATTGGTCCTCTAAATGACAGTTTTTGCTATTTTTTTCATACCCTATAGCCAATTGTGGTCCAAATTTAATGCCTGAGGGAAAATGTTTGAAGTTTTCCTTTAATCAGAGTTTAGCTCTCTGCCTACAGAGCCTTCCTGCTGCTGTTGCATCACATCTACACCTTTAGTCAGTCTCCAGAATGCTTTAGTGGACAATTGCTGGGGGAATGCTGTTACCCATAGCCAGTTCCTTGAATAATCAAGCTGCCACATTCATGCTACATCAATTACAGTGATTGTTCTCCAAAGATAATCCCATTACTGATACATTTTGCTCCTTGGGTGGACTCTGGGGGAAATGAATCAATTTCCATATAAATACTATTATATTTATAGTAATTGAAATAAGCATAAATCTTTGAAATATTTGGATAACTTTTCCACATGGGAAAGCAATGCTTGTCACAGTCAGAAGGAATAAAGTATGTCATGTCTCCTCTTATTGTGCATGATGAAAATTTAAGTAAATAATGTATTCTTCATATGCCGAAGTCTAAATTTTACCTCTAGTATAATATTGAACCATCAAGAATGATTATTTTAGTATTTAAGTGTATAGGAGGTAATATTCACTGAATTATATAATATATGTGAGTTTTTAAAACACATTTTTACAAAACCTTTATCAATATATTGCTATTTCAATTAATTAAATTTTTAAAAATTCTAAATCTTATGTTTTGGCAATAGGAGTCTGTAATTTTGGAAACTATAGTTTCATTTTTAAAAATTAAACATAAGTACCTACTACCATTTAAGGCAAAATAATTTAATTTTTTATAGTGTGATAGACATTTTTCAACAGATGATTTAATACTTATAGTAATTTATGTATCACTGATGGAATTTAAGCAGAAACAACTCAAATATAAGGAAAAATAACCATAAGACATCTAAGTTAACATTTTCAATATAGTAATTTTTATTGTTTTTATCTGTTCTTTGTATTTTGAAACATATTTGATACTTTTTTTTAAACAAACACAATTTTTCACTTGTCTTTATTTTCCCTTTGTCAGGTATTTTGCAATATGGATCTTAATGGGGGTGGGTGGACCGTCATACAACATCGTGAAGATGGAAGTCTAGACTTCCAAAGAGGTTGGAAAGAATATAAAATGGTAAGATGGAAGAACTTATAGTTCTTATAATCAATTTTGATGTTTTATCATGGGTTATCTTCACCAAGCTATGTGATAAAACCTTGTATTTTTAGGTGTTAATCTCTTATTAAAAAAATACATTAGTGACATTTCACTAAACTCAAAACACTCGTAAGTTATATTTAGTAAATGATTTCCATGTGTGTGCATCAGAAAGAAAAATGTAGTACTGAAATTATTTAGTGAACTGTTATTTATTATCTGGATTTATTCCTGGTCAAATGAGGGTGGAGGAAGTTAGAATTCACACCCAGGCTGTATCCATGAGCTGACAAGAAGGTATGTAGGTCTGTAGGTTGTGTAGCCGGACCAATGGCCTCACTCACATGTGTGGTAAATTATTGCTGGCTTTCAATTGAGAGTTCCTCTATGTGGCTAGGATGTGTTTCTCCTAGTGTAGTGATCCAGACTCGTCACTTATGTGGCAGTTGGCATCCCTCAAGAAGAAAGAAAGAGTCACTATCAGGCCTCTTGAAGGTTTGTTAGACCCAGAGATGGCATGCCATCACTTTGCCACACTCTTGGTTCAGGTTCATGACAACACCAGCTCAGATTCAAGACGAGGAGTACACAAGGTTGTGAACAGAGAAGCATGGTTCATTGGGGCCTCAGAAAACAAAAAAATGTTCTCAGAGAATGAGAACATTCTCATTCTCTAACATTTAACATTCTTATTAAAAAGGGACATCATTATTCTCCTCATCCTCATAGCTAATCTTTTCAGTGCTTAGTATATGTCACCCCTGTACATAAATCACTCTCTAGTATTCTATATCATATCTGGTAGACATGAAAATGATTCCATTTTTAAGAGGAACTGAGCAACTTGAGGAAATTAACTTTTCCAAGATAATCAAAATAGTCATAATCCAAAAATCTGTCACATAATCACTGTCTATGATATTAACTATTGAAATCCACTGACAGGATGTCAAGGCACAGTAATAGAAAAATATTTCCATTGATAGACTCATTCTCATCTTTTACTTCTAAATCTCCTGGATAATTCTTATCTTGACAAATTTTTGACAAAAACTGCTGTTCTAGCCTAAGTTCTGTTTGATATTTCTTGCATGACTATAAAAACCATGGTTAGTCAATGTCACAGCACTTACAAATATAATGATTTTTATTATTTTTCGTATAGGTAACTTACATTTACAGCACTGTATATGATTCAGAGGTACAGGTTCACACCTCTTCAGATGTATGTTACCAAAATGGAGTGGTTTTTGGCAAATCATTTACCCAAACTCTAACATTCTCATTCTCTAACATTTAACATTCTTATTAAAAAGGGACATTAAGTAACAGTATCTCACCTGCCTTGCAGGGATGTTGTAAGGATTAGATATAAGTAAGGCACTTGGCACACTGAAATTTCAATAAACAGTAGTTATTGTTATTATCCAAGATTAAAACTTCAAAGACTGAAAAATTTTTACTTAGTCTGCCAAAAATATTATTTTGGGAACCATCTTAACTCATGATTATTTTCACCACTAAAATTGGATGCAAAAAAGTCATATGAGAATCACACTATATATAGGGATTCAGCCAAATCTGAAAGATGTTATTAATATTAGTGATAATAGAAAAATGAATATAAAATTGTCATTGTACTGACTTTCCAAAATGGTGAATTATTAGCTCTAAGCATCTGTGGCCTTGGCAAACTAGGTACATTAAGGAAGTGACTGACACTGGAAGTTTGGCATTGATTTATGTCTTAGAAATACTTAACAAATATGTGTATATCTATATTAAGCATTATCCTCATTATTAGAATAGGACTGAAATTATTCTTTAAAATAAGTTTTGTGGGGCCTCCCTGGTGGCACAATGGTTGACCGCTGGGCTGCGAAGCTGTCCTCAGCCTCTGCAGTGCCAGTTTGATCCCTGGCTGCCGGCGAGGGTCCCACATGGCACGCAGACCTCTCCTGCTGTGCCTGCTGCTCCCCTCAGCAGTGTACTTTGTCAGTCTGCCTGTTCTGCTCCCCGCTCTGGCTCTGGTGAATTCTCTCACCCTCCAGTGCTTCTGACTGTACCCAGTGCTTTTATAAATACATACATAAATAAATCTTTAAAAAAAATTTTAAAAATTTAAATAAATAAATTTTGTGACCTTTGCCCCCCCCCTTTTTTTTGAAGATTTATTTATTTATACTGGGTACAGTCAGAAGCGCGGGAGGGTGAGAGAATTCACCAGAGCGGGGAGCAGAGCAGGCAGAGGTACCAAAGCAAACTGCTGAGGGGAGCAGCGGGTGGCAGGAGAGGTCTGCGAGCCATGTGGGACCCTCCTCCGGTGGCCGGGGAGCAGCCGGGGATCGAACCGGCACTGCAGAAGCTGCTGGCAGCTTCGTAACCCAGTGCTCAACTGCTGCACCACTGGGGGGCCCTACCCCCCCCCCTTTTTTTTAAATAGAAAGATACCATGTTTGATTTGAACTAGAACAACTGATTAGCTAAGGGTCAATTCCACATGTTCAGAAAATGAGATAAGCTCTGAAATTCCAAAATTTTCTGGCAAAAATGAGAACAAAGACTTTTCTGTTTTAATTATAAGAATTTATCATATATCATCACATAATTAACTTCCCCAAAAACACATGGTAGAAAGTGTTTCAGTTGTTTCCTCCAGAACTTTCTTTCACCTACAGACAAAATAGGGTGACTCCACAAAGAAAAGATACGTATACTCCTTAGGCCAGTTCTTATCAGTCACACCCCTCCTGGCCCCTGTATAGAAGAATTGACTTTAAAGGTGCACATCCTTTGGGAAAACAAGAACTTTGTGGCCTGCACCACTTCCTCCTCACTCTTCGCTAACCTATTTTATATAGTAAGGCACTTCACTTCTTTCTCGGGCATTGAGTGTAGAAATAAAGTTTCATCCTTCCTTTTGCCTTTTGGTCTCTCTTTCCCTTTGTGCTGCTTATTGATGGGCTACCACTTGCCTCCTAAAGTTTCAAGAACAACATGTTAAAATTATCAACATGTGAAATTCCAAATATATGTTATAATGATTTTTCTTAAACCTCTCACAACATGGAAAATTTGTAATTTATTTGATTCTTTACATTGCTTTAGTCTACAAAAGTCTTTTACCTGAGTTTTTTTTCACTTAATCCTTTTGAGGAGATTCAGCAAAATTTGGTTTATGGATTTGTGGATGTTTGCGGAGAGGGAATTCTGGAGTGGGCCTTTTTAATGAGGCACTTAGGGAACCATATTAACTCCTTCAAACCAAGAGGATGCCATTTAGTGGCCTCCAGCAATAACACTTATCAGCAGTACTTTTGCATATAAAGCCCAGTCAAGCTAGGAACTCCAAATGATACCCGAGTGGCCTAACTTTATAGAAGGTAGTGACTAATGCTCCGGAGACAACCTGGCTTTCCATTGAAAACAGTTACCCCATAAAGGGAGCTTCCTACTGACACAAATATTTCAGTCTGAGTACCATACCTTCTGGGAGTTCTTTGTTTCTGGGAAGAAATTGAGAGCACATTTTCAACTGCATTTAACATCTTCACATTCAAAAAGAAATATGTTAAAATAATAATGAGATAAATAAAAAGAAATTAAAAATGTTGACAAAATCATTCTTTGATCTTTCTTTGGCAGTATCTTAAAAGTTAGAGAGGAGATGCATGCTTTACTTGTGTTTTAGAGCACCTTTGGAAAGTCACAGCTCAATAACAGTGACTTATAATCTTTTTTTCTTTAATCATTTGTATGAAAAGAGATGAAACCCATAGGATACATAAACTGTGTCTGGTTTCACTTGTATCTCAGCTATAAAAAGTCAACACTTCCTATGAGCATTAGCAGGCAAAACAAATAAAGTATCAGTGACAATTATTTTATTAATTTGGAAATTAATGAACTGAAATTGAACATTTCTTCAAGTTTTAGCACAGGCTAATGAATATCAGCCTTCCTTTGTGTACGTTTTTTTGAGCAAAGTGTGGTTTTTAGAGCCAATTTTATGTCAGCACTAGTTTAGGTTAAGTTTCATTATGTTTTTTTACCTTTTATTGAAGAGCTAAAGGAGATGTAAAATTGATTAACAACCCATCTGCATTATATATCAAGATCTTTCATGCAGTGGTGATGTAACTAATGTAACTAGGCAGTAGCCCTCCTGAAAAATATGTCATGGTGTTCTTGTTTTTTTTATGAAAAAGAAGAAATTCTATTTTTATTACTATTATTTATTCAATAAGAACTTGCTGCTTTTTCAGTATCAACACTGAAAATTGTATCAGCTTTTCTTTTTATTTTTAATGATTGTTATGGTTCATTTGTAGTAAAATGTAGACCTATGATCATAGGTCATAGGTCATAGGTTATACACAAATTTATTTCTTTGCTGTGTGTTGGCCATACCTGTATTTCAGAACAAATGTGAATTTTTTCAAGGAGAGTCCCATAATACAGAATCAAAACTGGCTTCCTAATAGGGAGTTCATTATGAGGAGGGGTTTTATGTTGTCTGATCTTCCTGTGTACCAGTAGATAACTCTTCTGATTAATTTTTTTCTTACATGCACTTGGAACAGGTATTCCACATCATAATTATATGTTTTGCAACGTTAGGTACAATGCAGACTCATCTATGGGGCTTTTAAATGTGAAGCTCTCTAAGCCCATCCCACATGTACTGAGTCAGAACTCCATGTGGGAACCAAGTCATCTCTGTTTTTCAAAAGCTCCGCAGCTGTTTCTGATATGCACTCCTGGTTGAAAGCAACTGTCAGAACTATTAATTTATTAGCATGGGATTAAGATCTCAAAAATTACTTCTTTTGTAGATCCTAAAACTTATGAGATGGAGAGAGAGAGGGATTAAAGGAAATAGGACCATGGGAGAGTTGAAGGAGACCTTCCCTTTAGCATTAAGAAGTAAAAGTGAGAACAAGAAGGTAGTCTACCCTTTGGTTTATGTCATAGTTTAGTCCCAATTGCAACCAGCTGGTTTTCATTCCTTATTTAATAATTAACTTCTTAGATTAAAATGACAGTACTCATTTGTATAAACTAACACTCAACTTGTCATAAGAATACATTAGTTCCTAGCATCTGAAGCCTTTTAAGTAATTATTTCAGTATCCCCTTATTAATTTTCAAACTAAAATAAGATCTTGGGTTATTTTTGTTCCCTTTCCCATACAGAGAACAAAGGAAACAGCTTTCTGTCAAACAGCTCACAGTCTCATGAAAAAAAGTAAACAGAAAATCACTCTGTATTGTAATAGATCCTTTAATTATAATAACGACGATGAGATTTTCATTAAGTGTTTCTCAGGTGTCAGCTCTAAACTAAATGCTTTAGGTACATTATCTTCCTACTTTCTCACAACACTGTATATGGAAACAACATTTTTTAAATTTCTGTTTTGCAGATAAGGAAACTGAGGCTCATAAGTAAAAGTTTCCATAGTAAAATTGTGGCAGAAGAAGGCTTCAAATCAGAGGGATAAGAAGTAGAAGTTTTTATAGTCCAGTCCAAGCTTTTGTTCCTAAGCATCAGATGTGTGGTCTGCTGGATAAACTCTCCTATAGACAGTTTACTAATGTGGGAACCCATTTTCCCTTCTTTCACTTATTTTTCATCTTTGTGATGAAAAATAAGTGAAAGAAGTTGTTTCTGCATCACTGCACTTCCCTGTTAGGTTTCCTCCTTACACTATCTAACAGCCACTATGATTCATTGTTGTCAAATGCTCTGCTTCTACTAGTGAGCATGTTTGCAGATTGTCGTGAAGGTGCACAGAACAGAATTCCAGTTTCTGAAAAGCAAATTTTATGGTTATCTTTTCAGTTGCTTCTTGTTCTGTTTTCACTAAGGAAAAGCAAGCTATTTAGGAGGGGATGTAAACCTCCACTCAGAGGGAGGTTCAGGCCTGCGTGCCAAGATGGGAACGGGGTTCTGGTAGAAATGACACTGACCGCTGCCATTTCTGAGGTTCGCTGGAGATCACAGCACTTTTCCCTGGGGAAGCTGGAAAGTTTTATCCATGCAGCGCTTTCAACAGCATGGAAATATGTGACCTAAAACTTAACACTTCATCATTCCCAGCCTCCTTATTCACATTTAGTATAATTGCTGAATCCCTTTTCACTCACGACACAGAAGAGGGAATCGTCAAGTGTCTAGAGGCAGAGTTTTGACATGTCTGAACTGAGAAGAAATGCATGGAAAATCCCAGCGGTCTTCTTTTTCTTCCCAGTGACTGTTGCAATTGAGAATGTGCTAATTCTTTGACTTTCAGTCCCCTGAAACCTTCTGCTTTGTTTATTCATAGGAGAAGGTAAGCTTCCTTCTTCTCCCTGGTATGTAGTACCAGCTGCCATGAGAATGTGTAAAATTCCTAGCACATCCTAAATTGCTCTAATATTTCCTGACATTGGAACTTTTGGAAAGTGTGGCTCGACTATCTTAGAAACAGAGGTAAAGAGCCACTGGGGAGTACTGACTTGAATGGGTCCTATATCTTTGCACTCACCTAAATGCATAGTCTTCAGGAGAGAATTTAGCCAGTGCATCCTAGATGAAGGGTACTAGGTTAATCAAAAATGAAGAAGTTAAATTAGAGAATAGCTGTAAAAATATGTCTACATACAGGAATACATTTCATTTTAACTTTAAATATAAAAACTTACATCCATTTACCCATTTTATAAAAAGTAGTGCCAAAACTGGAATTCTGTGTCTGTGGCTCTTTGATAAAACTCTTCTATAATCAAATGCATAAAATTTCTAGTTTCTGTTTTTTACAAGTAGAACAAGTAAAACAATCTAAGACACATGCACAGAAATGTAAGTTAAAATCCACTAACATTTTATTATTTTCCCAGTCAGAGTTCTTGCAATAACACATAATTCAAAAGCATTTCTAGTGATTTGTTTTTATTGAGCAAACCTAAATATTTAAATTAGATGTTATAAAAAATAAAATCCTTCTTTCCCCAATAATATTTAATTTATTCATATAACATTATAAATCTTGTCATTATCATAACAGAACTGGTGAAAACTAGTTTGGGACCAAAGATAATGGGTCTTGGCAAGTAATTTAATTGGCAGAGACAGTAGTTCACAGTATTTAATGCTTTTTATACTCCATATATTTCAAAGAGGAATGGAGAACACTGATTCATGTGTTAAGTTAGTTAAAGAACAAGACAGTAAAAAATACTTCTGTAGTTGTAATTTTATAAGGTTGATCTACATTCCAAATTCTGTCATCTATGTTGACAAAATAATAACGATGATTATTTTAATACTTCCCTCATACTTCTTAATATGGATAACATAAAGCCTTTATTAATGAATACCTTCATTAACCTGTCTACTTCTCTATGAAACATCAGAGTTTATCCTGTGATTACTGGAGCATGTCTTCCAGATATTAATATGCATGAGACATATCAGGGAGCTTGTTCTGGTACAGATTCATGGGACTCGCTTTTGGATATTTTGACTCAGTGTGAAACCAGGAATTGTTTTGTTTCTACTAGAGGTCCAGTGATTATGATTCAGTTAGGCATTTTAAGAAAGACTTCCTTGAGACTCCACAGAATTAGCTACCACGAGGTTGCTTCTCTGAATATTTGGCAAAGTGCTGTAGTATTTTGTTTCCTCTTTCCTTTCTTCCTTTTGTCCCTTTTCTTTGAACTTTAGTAAAAGATATGGGTTCCCAATGTATGCCAGCATTCCTCTAGTGTTTGAGGATTCAAATATATAACACAAATTCTGTACTCAAGGAGCTTACAGTCTGTTCAGTAAGATAAACATGTAGATCGGGAATTATATTGAGCATCAGGCATTACCCAGGAAAATATTCCAAGGCAACAGTGAACAATACCCAAATCCAGAGTGCCAGCATTTTCTTAGGGTTCTTTATTTTCCTATCACTGGCATTGCCAATATTAAGAGTTAGGGACCACTTTTTTCCCCCACAAAGAAACTATTTTGAGCAATTAACAGCCGTGACTGGGATTGCCCTAAGAAGAACAAAAGAGCCATGTTGAGACTCAGGTGCAGAGCAGCAGGCGAGCTTCACTCCCTGGCTCACTTGTCAGCCTTCTGCCTCAAAATCCAAGTCTGTGTCACTGGAGCATTATAAATGCTCTATCTCTGGATTTATTAATAGTGTTAAATGAGAATGTTAAAGCTAGAAAACTTAAGGACCTCACAATCCATGCAAGTTATTATCTAGGAACACTTTCACTCCTAAATAATAAGAAATAAAAATTAACAAAACCAGTAGCAACAATGGTAGAATAACTTGTCTGATCTTATGCTGATAATATTCTTTGAACAATGTTTAAATTTTGCTCAAAACATTACATTAATTAGTATTTTAGAAACATTTTCAAAAGTAAACTGTGATTGAAAACTGTTTACTGTTTAAACCTATTAGTCAGATACCTTTAATCCAAAAACATCTCATGTATACAAATTTGAATATCAGATTTTACACAAATAGTACTAGAAGTAAGCTTTGATGGAGATAAACCAGCAGAAAGTTAATTGAGTTCATAATCTTTGATAGTTTGTAAAAATGTAAACAAAAATATTTGCTTTTAAAGAATAAGTTTTCGTAGTATTTAGAACACAGTTAAATACTGAACATAAAAACAGCTTCCCTCTGAGGTAACAGCTCTCTTCTTTTGCAGGGTTTTGGAAATCCCTCAGGTGAATATTGGCTGGGGAATGAATTTATTTTTGCCATTACCAGTCAGAGGCAGTACACACTAAGAATTGAGTTAATGGACTGGGAAGGGAATCGAGCATATTCACAATATGACAGATTCCACATAGGAAATGAGAAACAAAACTACAGGTAAGTTCTGCTTCCATTTAGTTCTTAAATACCTTAGGCCACTTAACAGCTTTAGTGGAAAAGACGGGGCTTAAATTTTGGAGGATGGAGAATTAGATCAGGCATATGATTATTGATATTGATATTGTGATGAAGGTACCAAGAATTCATACATGTATCAAATTGATGACAGAGAACTAATCAGACTCAGTAGTTTGAAGTAAATATTCTTCCTATGAAAAGATTTTCTACTTATACTTTCCTTACCTCTCTTCAATTATTTTCACATTATCTTGAAAGTGACAAAAAGAGAAGTAAAACTATGTTTTGACTGATTTATGTAGTGGTAGATATTGTTTAAACTATTTTTGTAAATAATATAAACAAGAAAAATAAATTCAAATAATGGCATTGATATACACAGTGCATCATTGCAATTGTAAAAATAGACAATCTATACACTTAATTGTTAGCATCTGTAACTTTTTTTTTCCAATGAGCAGTTTGTCCATTCAGAGAAAAAATAAATCTAAACAAGTAATGTGGTATGTTAAATTAATTCCATTTTATTGTGTTACTTCTTTGTTCCTGAAACTCAACAAGGCAATGTTTATGCAGTCAATGATGAGATCTCTACCCTGCTAGACCTCACACACCAACATTCTTACTAACTAGGTCACTGAACAATTGATTGTCATTCCTGAGAGCAGGGAATATATTGCAGTTACTTTTCTATCAGTATCTATTAATAATACTTCATACATAGTAAATCTTTAATAATTGTGTGTGACTCAGTTTTATAATCAGTAAATTAGAATTGCAATGATTTTGAATTCTCAGTGTAATTGCTACTCTGTTTTGGTCTTGGAAAGATGATGGTGTATACTCAAAGCTTGGTACATTGCTTCAAGCAAAATGCAATGATAGCAACCAAAGGCTTCTGCTTTTCTTCCAATCTGTGTGGTCATCTCCTTATAATGCAACTGTTTTTGCTGTTGATTTGTCTTTCTAAGACATGCCATTCTTTAGGAGTTTGAATCTACAACTTTTTCATGAGCCTATCTCATTTTGTTGTAATGGATTATGTATGGGATGGGATCCTTGGAGACATAATAATCATTTTCTAACAAACAGTGATGATGTCACCACAACAGAGTATGAGAAATAGATCTGAAGAGTTAGTTGTCTCATGGCAGGGGAGTGAGGGTGTACATAATGGCAACTCAAGAAACCAAAGAAGAGACATTTATAAAATGCAATGGAGTGTAAGAAGAAATGTTTCCAAGGAGGTCAATATTTTGGGAGTTTTATAACAAGAAAAACCACTGTAAAACATCAGGGGTACTCTTATGTAAATGTTTTGACCTGAAACTTGAAACTATATGAAACTTGGCTGATGTCAGACAGCCTGACAATAGGACTAGCAAATAATTAGTCTAGTCTTTTTCTAGGCTCCTGAAGAATTTGCTTTGGTTCCTTTCCAAAATGTCTCTCAGTCTGTAGACTGTCTGTGTGTGTGTGTGTGTGTGTTTGTGCATACACACACATGCACCCACTGAAACACATGTATGTGCGCTTGCTGGGATGAAACACGTCCTTGCTTGCAAGACTGTGGCAATATTAAGGGGCCAAAGAGAGTTTAGGCAAGTTTGGGAAGGTTGTGGGCATGCAAAGTAAGTTTCATGGTACTTAGTGTGAATGAATTCTGGGATCTGCATGAGAAAGGAACACTTACTTAGAGTGTCCCTCTGCCTCTTAGAATGCTCCACCACCTTCATCATCATTTCCCATTTCTTCAAATCCTGTGTGATGATGCTCTTCAGTCATACAATATGGATCTGTGATCAAGTAGTTCACTTTCCCAGCTAGTGTAAAACATACACGATGGAGTCCCCACTTTTCTTATTTGAAACAATTGTGAACTTTGAGAATCAAAATTATAAATCTAGAAAGAATTTAATAACTTAATTCCAAATGTCTGGTTTAATGAAAAGAAGACTGAGTTACAGAAATATGCAATATTTCACCCATGGAGGAAGAAAGACTTAAATATGGGGTGTTTGATGCCTATCAAGTTTGGTATGGTTTCCACTATGTGATAATGATGTGATCAAGTTGGTGGCTCTGGCCCTCTCCCCTTGCCAGGACCCAGCAGAAAATACAGCTTCTCAAGTAATTATTAAGATTCACTCTGGTGTCAAATAGGAAATTGGAATTCATTAAAAACTATAATGGCTGTTCTAGTAAAAGTTTAGTTAAAATAAGCACACAATAAAATGGTGTTATTCACTCTTTCAAAGAAATCAAACAGAAGACTAATAAGGGAAGCTACTCTCTTGAGGCTTCCCTTTCCACTCATGTCATCACTCACTCAGCCCACACTGACTCCGGGCCTGGTAGGCCACACGCTTTGCCTTTATATGTTCTGCCTCCACTCATTCCTCTGCCCTCTGAATTATTTTTGTTAGAAATTATTATAAGTATTTATGGTAACATTTGCATAGTATTTTAGTAATTCATAAAATGACTTTTAACACTTTATCATTTAGTTCTCACAATGATGTTTTGAGGTAGGTATGATTAGACACATTTAAAAGAGGAAGAAATTGACCTGCTCAAATTCAACTCAAGTCCAGCTAAAATCAAAACTGTGGAATTTGTGCTGAGTTTTCCATTCTATAGTTTCTCTATCTTTCCTCTTTCAACTCTCATGTAGAATTTTTTATAAATTCTTAATTTATACTAGATAAGCCTCATATATATTAAAAATAGTCTTCCCATGCTCTAGACAAATATTAATTAAAAATAATTGTGGTGAATAGATAGATAGATGAGCTTACAAATGTATATGTAAGACACATATTTTCCTTTTATCCTCTAAGGAAATTACAAATGATTTTCTTATATAGAAAATAAAATCTATAGGACCCATAGGAATATAAATAAGAAAAAAAAAAAAACAATAATGTGAGAGTGTCATGATAAACACACCCTGTGAAGTAACACACAATCAATGTGAGATTATTAAACACTTCCTCTAGAGAGGCAGTATTACCCAGATCCTCATCATCTAACACCCAGACTATTATAGAGCCTGCCTGCCTCCAGTCTTTATGCTCTCAAACATATCTTCCACACTGTGGTTGGAATGGTTTTGCTAAAAGACAATCTGATTTGGTTTCTGCCCTCCCTTATCTATTTCAATAACATTCAGCAATCTGTAGATTATAGTCTGCCACTTAAAACTCTTCATAATCTGGTCTCTACCCACTTATTCAGCTTTTGCTATCATATCCCTGCTTCACCCAGAGACCCCCATCATTGTAGCTATGTTCCAGTAACTACTTAGAATTTCTCTACAACTTCCTCTGTTTATGCTATATCTTTATTATACCACATACATAAGCCCAACTTTGAATCTGTCTTCTAAATCTTCAAGATTAACTCTTATTCAAGGAAATCCTTCCTAATACCTAGTATAGTTTATGCTGTGATGCACCAACCCATAACCCACTTTCAAAACTACAGCACTGCTCTCCCACCTCCTGACAATGTTGTTGATAACAACTGTAGCAGAGGTCTCCTGCCCAGGCATTGTCTGTGATTGAAACAGTTGCTTCACCCAAGATTACTCACTACTCCTTCCTATAGACAGATTGTACCCAATGACTTGCCAATATGGGATTATACAATGTACCCCTACCGAATTCAGAGCAATTAAGAAGTGCTGAATCTCACTTGAGACTCACTGAGATTGTCACTGTGACTGCATGTGAACCCAACTTCTTCTGCTCTGTGCAGTACTTTCTTCATTCTGCCACATGGATAGATCCTAAGCACGTAAACCTCTGTAAACTTCCCAATGGTTATTTTCCAGATAGATGCTCAGTGCTCTCACCAATCCTTAACACTTCGAGGATAATTATTTAGTATCCTCATTTGATTACAAGTGTTAATTGAATATGTGTGTATGTATCCTTTCCTACTAATCTTTGAGCTTCCAGTGTATAGGAACCATTTAAATAAAAATTCAAGTTATATATGTATATTAGTAAATTATTAACTAGTAGTTAATAGCTAATATTTGGTAATTACATACTACATACCATTCACCTTGTTTTCACATGAGAAATCTGAGGCATGGTATTTTGTACATGTCAAAAGCAATAACATAAATTGAAGTCAAGATTGGAGTTTTGATCCATGACTGCCTACCATATGGCCATCCCTCAATAAAGGGAAATCCATCAGTTAATATCTGGAATGAGATACACTCAAACCACATATTCTAAAAGATAAAACATGTTTATTCTAATCCCATTTCTGTCTTTAATAATTTGAATGTCCATGGGTACATTCTCTCATCTCTCTAGTTCTCAATTTTCTATCCTATAAATTAAAGTATTTGTAATATTCCTTGCAGTGCAAAAAATCATTTTCTAGGATAGAATTACCATTATGTATGTACTTCTTTTTCTCCTTTATAGCCCTTCAATTCTTTGATGAATGATTAAATTTTGATCTCTGTAATAAATACTTCAATAAGACTTTCCATCAACCAAGGACTTAGAGCAATCTTTTACTTACGTGAAAACATAACTAGACCCAATACTTAATAGTTAAAAACAAATATACAACCACCACCACAGTAACAAATGCTAAAAAAAAAAAAAAAAATGACAGATTAATTGTTGGGTTAGGGAGATGCTGTGATCTACTGGCAAGAAATCTTGAACAGGAATCAGAAGATGTGGAAGCTATTATATAGTGAAGTCTGGCTTCACTATCCATAAAACCAACTTGATTATATTAGTCGATGTTTAGTTAGGGAAACAGAGCTCTGATGAGTGATATGGAAATAAAGGATTTGTTAAACTTAATCAACTTCACACATGTGTGAGATGAGCTGGGGAGGTGAAAGTCTGGAAGGTGAATTCAAAATATCAGAGGAAGGTATAACTAATACGTGTACTTGAAACCCTGCATAATGGTGAGCAAATTGGAGCTTGCTGGGAAATCTA